AATGTGTGACGCGCTATGTTATATCATATAGTAAGCAATGTGTGACGCGCTATGTTATATCATATAGTAAGCAATGTACGACGCAGCACCCACTGTTATGACGCGGCACGCATAGTGCTACATATATAACATCACGTCATATAAACTTATATCACGTAATGTGTGACACAGCGCGCAGTGTAGGACACAAAATGCAAATATTATGTAAGATCAAAAGTCTATGATAGAGACTCTATTATAGACTCTGTTATGGACTCTTGGTAAGATGCAGCCCGTACAGCGCATGACATACCACAGCACCTACATCAGTTAATTGTCTAGCACGCTACTACTTGTTGTCTAGCACGCTATCGCGTAAACATAATACTGCCGCATTATCGACACCACACATACAAAGCCGAGGTGCATGAATACATCTTCCCATAGAAGATGCTTGCGTAATCGCACCCGTGAAAGTTTTTTTTAAATCGAGGTCGTTTAATTGCGATAGATTTCTATTAACGTGCAATATAGGTGGTGTATATGTATACACTATGCCACGGTGCTCGCGTGCATGAGGTAACATACCACGGTGGACAATAAAGCATCACCGATATACACCCACCTGAATAAATTACCGTATAGCTCTAGAAGCAGGTTGGGTCTTTTACACCATGACGGCGTTACAGACCTGTTAGACTAGTTCTTATGCGGCCTTAGACGAATGTGAACAACAATAATTTGCCCGCTCGTGACATATGAGTTTTATGATGATCTATAGACGCGCGCACACGCACACGCGCACGCACGCACGCACGCACGCACGCACGCACGTCATTAATGTCAATATTGATATTATCATCATAATTAATATTGATACTATCATTAAAATTAATATTATATCATTATTATCTATACAATTAAAGTAAGACATTTCCGCTAAAAACTCCGGAGGGGGTGAACGGCTCGGCGTGAAACGTACACCGCGTATCGACAATGATTCCGTATCCTGCCTCTCAACTTTGGAAGAAAATATAACCTCCGAAAATGTGATTTTGCGAGGGAAACCTTGAAAATCTGTACACAATCTATAAATAGAACGAGGGAATATACACACAGCATCCCGTACGTGTCAATCCATGATGTATTACCGTAACAGGGGTAGAAACAAGGACAATATGCAAGTTAGCCCGAAGGGCTAGTAAGGTAAGGTTTGTACTAGCCCTTCTGGTTTTCAACTAGCCCTTAAAAGCATGATGTCGATAGCGGTTGCGCGGGAAAATTGTTGATCTCACGAATGCTCCGAGATGCTTTCTAAGGGTATTGTGTATTGTTTATATTGTGTATATATTGTGTATTGTTGTATTGAGAGGTTTGTTTATTTACAATCATTTTATTATTAAAACAGCCAGAGTGACAGTGAGTGTGACTATAACACTGTATTAGTGGAACAAGTCTTTCGGATGATGGAAGGGTTGCCAATGTTGATACCAACGCTATAGACGGGTCCCGCCGACACCTACATTGTGGCTAGTTACATGAGAACGGGAACGCATGGAACGGGCGAACGCAACCGCCACGCCGCGACGCACACAGGAACGGCAGCACGCAACACGCACACACACACACGACACACACACTTCAGCACACACACCCACACTAGCGCGCGCGCCGCGCGCGGGCCGCGTTTACAACGCCCAACATGCAACAAAGAACACGTATCACGCGACACGCGTAATACGCACCGCATACACGTCCGCACACACGCGCTGCACGCACACACGTCGCACACACGGCGCGGTCACGCACACACCTCGGCACACACGCTGCTCACGCCACAGCGATCGCACTACGCAGAACGCGCTCACGCACTAACACGCGCCTCACGCACACACCTCGCACACACGTGGCTCACGCACACGCATTGGGCGCGCGCTCCCACACGCACACCGTCACACACATGCGCTCAGCACTTGGCACAAGGTGCATTCCGTCACGTCACGCACCACACGTGCTTACCGCCCACACGCAACACACCGTCCGCAGCACAGCACGCGCTGCACAGCAACGACATCGCACACAAACGTGGGGGCCCTCACGCACCACGTCGGCGCTCACTGCACGACACGTCGCACATCGCGCTCACGCACCCCACAGTCGCGCACACGATGCGCAGGGGTACCGCCTCACTGGGCTTCACACACGCGCTCACGCACACACGTCGCACATACGCGGCTGCAACTAGCAATTTACGTCGGCAAGCACACGCGCTCACGCACAAGACAATGCGCTCCCAGCCACACACGTCGCACACACGCGCTCACACACACCCGTCGCACGACACCGGCTCACGCAACACATGTCGCACACACGCGCGCGTCACGCCACACACGTGCACACAACAGCGGCGTCAGCGCGACAAACACGCCGCACACACGTGGCTCACGCACACAGGATGGGTCGGCGCCGGCGTCACACCACCCACGACACCTCGCGCGACACCACGCGCTCACGCAACAAGCGCAGGTTAACGCACGGTCGCACTACACGTCGCACACGGAACTGCGCTCACGCACACACGTCACACACGACGCGCTCACGGCCCACACGTCGCCACACACGCGCTAACGCACTACGTCGCACAACGCGTCTAACGCAGCACAGTTACACACACGCGCTCGACCGCACCCACGTCGCACACGAACGCGCTCACGCACACACGTCACACACCCGGTGCCCTCACGTCACACAGCGGTCGGCACACACAGCGCTAATGCACCACACGTCAACACACACGCAGCTTCACGCACACACGTGCCACACGCGCTAACGCACAACACGTCGCAGCACACGCGCTCACGCACGACACATGACAGCACACGCGCTCACGCACACGACGTTCCATTTCACAAGAATTACGAACATCTGGCTGGAATTGTTTTACCCTTGCTTGCCGACGCGAAAAGGCCCACCCTGGCCCTTTAACCTAACCCTTCCAAAAATTACTCGTCCGGCTAGGCGGGCTAGCGGCTAATTCGACCCCTGCCCGTAATGTCGGCAGTGTACTCATTCCTCAGGACATTTCGTCTCCTAACACCATGATTCCGGTTTCGATTCCCAGCTGGGGAACGCTTAATATTTACGCCTTATTTTTCTTTCTTCCTTTTTACCTACCTCTTTAGTATGTATTATTTTCTCCTTCGGAGTTTTTCAGCCGAAATGTCTTACTTTAATAGATAGATTTATTTAATTCTTAATTTATAAATTATTATTTTTTTAATTTATTAATTATTTTTATTATTAATGTCCTTTTATTTTTTGGATTTCTTATTTATTTGGGATGGGAACTGGATGGCATGGTTTAGCATGCGATGGAATTGGGATGGCGCACTGCCGATATGCATGGGATGGATGGCATGGCATGGATGCGATGAGATGGCATTGGTATGACATGAGATGGGTTGGCAATGGCGCAATTGGATGTCATAAGAACTGGCATTTGGGATGGCAATGGGATGGCATGGGATGCGTAATGAGCTGGATGGGATGGGATGGGACTGTGATGTGATGTGATGTGAATGTGATGTGATATGGGATGGGATGGGATGGCATGGAATGCGAATGGATAGATGGATGCACTGGATATGATAGACAGTTGACTGATTTTTGTGTATTTTCCTTTCCAACCAAGCGTTCACGAACTGAAAGTAACGGCACTTTGATTTTCCGGCAACGCCGGGTAATCCGCTTAGTTATACTATAATAACAAATAATAATAATTATTATTATTATTATTACTGTATGCATCATCATCATCGTCGTCGTCGTGCGTCGTCGGTCGTCGTCGTGCATTGCTTACCATCTGTATGATGTAAGGTTAGTGATCCGCAAGCAACCTCACTATACCTCCGCCTTCTCAAATCTATAGCCAGATAACTGCAATAATAAAGACACACATGAACTTATGAGGGCACAACAATGGTTTTAATTATATATACTCCGATTAAATCTAAGCTCTTACGCCTAACAGCAACAGAATGCGCTATATTTGCGCCATACACGAAGTGTTTTTCTTCGCCGGCAACTCGAGTATGTTCCGTCAAACAATCGGACTTCCGTGTAAATAACTTTTGCCCGAAAATGGAACTTACTTTAAAAAAAACCCCGATTAGATTGTTTATGAGGAAGCAGACATGAGCACTGTTGAACACCCAGCCAGTGCGTAGTTAATGCGGGGGGGACACAAAATGTGGCCATGAGCTCCCCTGTTGATTCAAAAGTTACAAAATAAAGAAATTAAGAATTTGTTCTACTAAACAGAATAAATTGTCGCTTAGTCAGAATTGAAGGCTTGTACAATGTACATGTATTTCAAAAGTGCCTCAAATACCCATCTCCGGCGATACAAAATTTTCCCAAAATTTTTGGTGGGAAGATCCATACCGGCCCCGCCCTGTGTTTGGGAGCCCCCTCCGTCCCCACTCCTCGTAATCCTAGATCTGCGCACTAACAGT